TGCACGTGAAGAAGGGGGCTGGGCTCGGCCAGGTCGGCGTTGGTCCCGGCCCAGAGCCCCGGAGACTTGCGGCAGTGGCCTCCCCGTTCCGACCCCTGTCTGCCCCATCAGTGGGGCATCAGTCCCAGCCTACCCCACCCCACCCCCCGAGGCTGGCCAAGCTCAGAAAACATCTGTGGCACGGACGGGCAGGGAGGCAAAGTGACAGAGGCGGGGCACAGAAGAGCGCAGGCCCCCCCGCGGCGGCACCCGAGGGGTGGGGGCCGGGGAGGGGTCGCACGCGGCCGGCTCCTCCGCGCCCGCCCGCTGCCGGCGCGCGGGCAGGCGAGTCAGCCCTCCCCTCCGCGGCTCCCGGCCAGGGACACCCCTCCCTCATCCTCTAGGCCACCTGGGGCTGCCAAACTTGCCCTTCAGGTTTGGCTCCGGCCGCCCCGCCCCTCCTTCCTCCAGGAAGCCTGCCTTGACCCTCTGAACCGCCTCTTCTGGGCTTCCAAGTCACCCTCAGTGTTGCTGTTGTAGGACCTGTGGAAGAAAGACCTCACCTTTGCGGTTGCAAACACTTCCTCGCATTTTCTCTTACCCTAGGTACAGTACTCAGAGCTCTCCATAAGTCCCCTACATCCTCCCAAAGCTGTGATCTCCACTTTACAGTGGGGGGGGGGGGGGGGGCACTGAGGCACAGAGAGGTTAATTCATTTGCCCAGGGCCACACAGCTAAAACGGGGCCAGACCATGAGCTGGTAACACAGAATACCAAAGGATGCCGGGCCTAAATCGTATGTCTGGACTTCACTGGTGGTCTGGTGGTTAAGAATCCGCTGGCCAACGCATGGGACATGGGTTTGATCCCTGCTTCAGGAAGATCCCACATGCCCTGGGGCAGCTAAGCATGTGAGCCCTGGAGCTGGGACTCTGCAACGTAAGTCCAGGCACTACAACTCGAGAGAAGCCCTCACTCACCACAACTAGAGAAAAACCCGCCTAGCAACAAAGACCCAGCCCAGCCAGAAAGAAAGGAATAAATAAAAAGCAAATTGTGTGGTCTGAGTTCAACCGTCTCCACCACTTATTAGCTGTGGGATCATAGACAAATGACTTGAATATGCCTCAGTTTCTTCATGTATAAAATGGGGATAATCAAACCCATTTCATAAGATGTTGTGAGGTTTATACAAACCCACACCGCATACTCAGAAGAAGATATAAGCACTCAATAAGTATTACCAAAATGATTAAGTGGCAAAGGCAGGACTGGAATCCACACCCACCTGGGCTCTTTACCATAATACCATATGTGTTATCTCTCTTTCTCTCTGTTGTTTCCTCCCCATCAATCCAGGACAAGGATGTGCCTTCTCTGGTTTCCAGCTTCACTTAGTATAGTTTGTGGGGTCAGCATGCGTTCACTGAAGCAATAATGCACAGAAGGGTACTAAATGCAAAAGTGCATTAATTCAGCAAATGTCACTCCAGCACTTACTACACACAAAATCCTATTCTATAAGCTGCAGGTAGACTAGGGGACTGAACATACAATAGGCTTTGTCCTTGTGAAGTTTACATTTTAATGAGGGAGACGTAAAAGAGACAAAATGAACAAGTAATACAGTGTGTTTAACCTCATCTTTTAATTACAAAATTAAAAGACGCTTGCTCCTTGGAAGAAAAGCTATGACCAACCTAGACAGTGTATTAAAAAGCAGAGACATCACTTTGCCAACGAAGTTCTGTATCGTCAAAGCTATGGTTTTCCCAGTAGTCATGCATGGATGTGAGAGTTGGACTATAAAGAAAGCTGAGCGCGGAAGAATTGATGCTTTTGAACTGTGTGTTGGAGAAGACTCTTGAGAGTCCCTTGGACTGCAAGGAGATCAGAGCAGTCCATCCTGAAGGAAATCAGTCCTGAATATTCATTGGAAGGACTGATGCTAAAACTGAAGCTCCAATACTTTGGCCACCTGATGCAAAGAACCGACTCACTGGAAAAGACTCTGATGATGGGAAAGACTGCAGGAAGGAGGAGAAGGAGGCAGCAGAGGATGAGATGGTTAGATAACATTACTGACTCAATGGACATGAGTTTGAGCAAACTCCAGGAGATAATGAAGGACAGAAAAGCCTAGCATGCTGCAGCCCATGCAGTCGCAAAGAGTCGAACATGAGTTAGCAACTAAAAAACAACAATACATTGTGTTAGAGGGTGATAAATGATCTGGAGAAAAATTAAGTGTTGGTCTAGGAAGAAGAGACTCTGAAGGAGGGGAGGGGTCAGAGGTGCTGCTTTGTGGAATAAGGTGGCCAGCCAGGGCTCTTTGATGTGATGTTATTTAACCAAAGACCTGAAGAAGGTGAGAGAGTAAGCCCTGAGGATACAAGAAAAGCATTGCAGGCAAACAGCATAGCAAGTGCAAAGGCCCTGAGGCAGAATGGCCCCTGGGTGCTCAAAAAGCAAAGGAAGGTATAGAAGAAAGTCTTCTCTTCTATCCAGAGAAACTGGGGGGCACCCAAGTCTTTTGAGAGAGGAGTGACTTGAGCTGACTCAGGCATCTACAGGATCTGTTCTTGGAGACTGGAGCAGGGAGGAAGATGCTAGGAAGACACTTGCTGCATGTGTAACTATGATTAAGCCTCCAAGCCCTTGTGGGCCTCAGTTTTCTCATCTGTGAAATGGAGCCACCCCAGCACTGAACCTCACTGGGTTTGGGGAAGAAGTGGGTGTACAACTCAGTCCTTGGGGACTGTGGCACAGAGGAAAAAATTTCATGCCAGAGGAGTCTATTAATTTTATCATATTCTTGGATTTGTTTTGGGCATTGAATCTTAGCTATCATCGTCCGTCACTGGAATCATCGAGGGAAGTTTTCAAAAGAAGAGGGAAGGGGGCTGAGGGCACCGGTGGAGACAGAAACCCCAGAAGGAGGTGAGCACGGCCGGATGGACCTCAGCCCTGGGATTAGAAAGGCGGGCCCCAGGTTCAAAGCCCACGCTGCACATTGACCATGAACAAGTGGCAGTCAGCTTCACAGAGATACCAGGAGAGGTCGGACGGGGGTTTCTGACGCCACATTGCTGGGGCTGTTGTTCTGTTGTGATGGAGACAGTCCCGGCTCCCCACCGCCGCCCTGGAGTCCCGGCCCCGCCCAGGGCCGCTCTGGGAGGCTGTGCCGGGAGTGCTCAGGTATGCGGAGGGAGGAGGGCCTGGAGGGACAGGAAGGACGGGCCGCGCCGGGAGAGCAGGGCTCAGCGCCTCGGCCTGTCAGAGGCTGGCCGGCAGGTGAGGGGGCCAGAGAGAGACCTGGGTCCTAGGGAGGAGGGCCGGGGGCCTGGACCCCCGGGTCTGAGGGAGGAGGGGCGGGGGCCTGGACCCCCGGGTCTGAGGGAGGAGGGGCGGGGGCCTGGACCCCCGGGTCTGAGGGAGGAGGGGCGGGGGCCTGGACCCCCGGGTCTGAGGGAGGAGGGGTGGAGGGGCCTGGACCCCCGGGTCTGAGGGAGGAGGGGCGGGGGCCTGGACCCCCGGGTCTGAGGGAGGAGGGGCGGGGGCCTGGACCCCCGGGTCTGAGGGAGGAGGGGCGGGGCCTGGACCCCCGGGTCTGAGGGAGGAGGGGCGGGGGTCTGGACCCCCGGGTCTGAGGGAGGAGGGGCGGGGGCCTGGACCCCCGGGTCTGAGGGAGGAGGGGCGGGGGCCTGGACCCCCGGGTCTGAGGGAGGAGGGGTGGAGGGGCCTGGACCCCCGGGTCTGAGGGAGGAGGGGCGGGGGCCTGGACCCCCGGGTCTGAGGGAGGAGGGGCGGGGGCCTGGACCCCCGGGTCTGAGGGAGGAGGGGCGGGGCCTGGACCCCCGGGTCTGAGGGAGGAGGGGCGGGGGCCTGGACCCCCGGGTCTGAGGGAGGAGGGGCGGGGGCCTGGACCCCCGGGTCTGAGGGAGGAGGGGCGGGGGCCTGGACCCCCGGGTCTGAGGGAGGAGGGGCGGGGGCCTGGACCCCCGGGTCTGAGGGAGGAGGGGCGGGGGCCTGGACCCCCGGGTCTGAGGGAGGAGGGGTGGAGGGGCCTGGACCCCCGGGTCTGAGGGAGGAGGGGCGGGGGCCTGGACCCCCGGGTCTGAGGGAGGAGGGCCGGGGGCCTGGACCCCCGGGTCTGAGGGAGGAGGGGTGGAGGGGCCTGGACCCCCGGGTCTGAGGGAGGAGGGCCGGGGGCCTGGACCCCCGGGTCTGAGGGAGGAGGGGCGGGGGCCTGGACCCCCGGGTCTGAGGGAGGAGGGGCGGGGGCCTGGACCCCCGGGTCTGAGGGAGGAGGGGTGGAGGGGCCTGGACCCCCGGGTCTGAGGGAGGAGGGGCGGGGGCCTGGACCCCCGGGTCTGAGGGAGGAGGGGCGGGGGCCTGGACCCCCGGATCTGAGGAAGGAAGGGCGGGGCCTGGACCCCCGGGTCTGAGGGAGGAGGGGCGGGGCCTGGACCCCCGGGTCTGAGGGAGGAGGGGCGGGGGCCTGGACCCCCGGGTCTGAGGGAGGAGGGGTGGAGGGGCCTGGACCCCCGGGTCTGAGGGAGGAAGGGCAGGGGCCTGGACCCCCGGGTCTGAGGGAGGAGGGGCGGGGGTCTGGACCCCCTGGTCTGAGGGAGGAAGGGCAGGGGTCTGGACCCCCGGTCTGAGGGAGGAGGGGCGGGGGCCTGGACCCCCGGGTCTGAGGGAGGAGGGGCGGGGGCCTGGACCCCCGGGTCTGAGGGAGGAGGAGCGGGGGCCTGGACCCCCGGGTCAGAGGGAGGAGGGGATAGGATCTGGACCCCTGGTCTGAGGGAGGAGGAGCGGGGGCCTGGACCACCGGATCTGAGGGAGGAGGGGCGGGGGCCTGGAATCTGGGTCTAAGGGAGGAAGGGCTGGAGGCTGTGATTGCTGTCTGAGTGAGCAGGGGCTGCGGCCGGGATTCCTAGCTCCTGTGGTCACATCAGCCCTCATCCTTTGCTGGCTTCCAGGGCTCCGGGTGGCAGGAGCCCACTTTTTCAGCACCATGAGCACCACCCCTGGGTAAGTACCCCCGTCCGCCAGGCCCCCAGCCCCCACCCTCCCATCCACACCCACAGGTGGCATTTACAGCAGCCCAGGGCTGGACACTCGGAAGCCTGTGAGCTGCCTCCCTCCCACTGCCAGTCAGACAGACCTGGGTTCAAATCCCATTGCCAACCTTCAGCAGTGGTGTGGCCCCAGCAAAAGACATCACCTCTTCAAGCCCCAGTCCCTCCTCTGTGAAACGGGTGATTTCGAGAGCTTGACAGGATAACACACGTGCAAGACTTGGCTGTCTAACCAACAGTGGGTGCTCAGCTCATGGGAACCACTATGGCTGCTGTTGTTATCTGATTTTTTTTTTTTTTTTTTAGCTTCTTTGGCCACATTGCATGGCTTGTGAGATCTTAGTTCCCCGACCAGGGATTGAACCCTTGTCCCAGCAGTAAAAGCACTGAGTCCTAACCACTGGACTGCCCGGGAATTTCCAATTGTTATCTCATTAAATATTGACCTAGGGCCTAGTGCGTGCCTGCTCAGTCATGTCCGACTCTTCGTGACCCCATGAGCTGTAGCCTGCCAGGCTCTTCTGTCCTTGGGATTCTCCAGGCAAGAACACTGGAGTGGGTTGCCATTTCCTCCTCCAGGAGATCTTCCTGACCCAGGAGATCAAACGTGCGTCTCCTGTGTCTCCTGCATTGGCAGGCTGGTTCTTTACCAAGTAATAACCTGGGAAGCCCTGGGTTGTTTATCATGAAGGGTCAAGTCTCCTGGAGTGACCAGGGAGAAAGACAAAGAAGCATGGACACAGGTGTCTGGGAGATGTAAGTGAATGATTTCTCCAGCCCAGAGGTAATCAAATTGTGGGGAGATTTGACTGACCAGAGCAGGATGAGGAGCAGAGGTTTGACTGAAAGGCTTTCTCATCCTTCAGCTCTCATCCCTGACCCCAGTCAAGCTCTGAGCTCTTATTATATCTGGGGAAATGAGGATTCAAGAATTCTTCTAGGAGAAAGTGACCTTGAAGAGGAGGTTGAGGACAGGTTTTGGCTGGAAACGGCCCGTGGGGGTAGGAGGGGAAGAAGATAACTTCCCAGCTACTCCCCATACCTGTTGTTCCGTCACTAAGTCATGTCCAACTCTTTTTTGACCCCATGGACTGCAGCACGCCAGGCCTCCCTGTCTTTCACCATCTCCCGGAGTTTGCTCAAACTCATGTCCACTGAGTCTGTGATGCCATCCAACCATCTCATCCTCTATCGCCCCCTTCTCCTCCTGCCCTCAGTCTTTCTCAGCATCAGGGTCTTTTCCAATGACTTGGCTCTTTGCATCAGGTGGCCACACCCTGTGGTTAGGATTTGGTGCTTTCACTGCCGAGGCCTGGGTTCAGTCCCTGGTTTGGGAACTGAGGTCCTGCAAGCCATATGATGCAGCACAGCTTTAAAAAAAAAAAAAAAAAGTCCATTTATTGAGCAACTACTGTGTGTTGCGCCATTTGCATCATCATAATGATAATAACATGGTCTTTACTGACAGCGCCTAGTGCGTATGTGCTGTCCTGTCCGACTGTAGGAGAGTCTGCAAAACACTCCAATGGCTTCATCTCACTGAATTCACCCAAGAGCCCCACTCGGTGGAGACTGTGGGCAGCTGACCCCTGAGAAACTGAGGCAGGAGAGATGGTCTCCCCACCTCCCCCCACCCCAACCGGAGTCTTCTGGTAAAGCAGGAGCTGATAGGGGATTCACACCCAGCTCTGGGTGAAGTAGAGACCACACCCCCCACCACCACCCAGTACCACTGCCCTACTTGCCTTATTAAGGTCCAGCGCCAGCTCTGCCTTGCTGCTCAGAACCCTCCATGGCTCCCCACTGCCCTTGCAAGCTCTGCCTGGCAATCAGAACCCCCACCATCTGCTGACAGTTCCCCCACCCACCTCTCACCCCTCTTTTCCTTCACAGCCCAGAAGCTTCTCTCAAACAGAGTGCCAAGTCTATCTATGGTGAGTTTAGGGGCCAAGAAACCCCAGGCCAAGAGAAACTAGGTCTGAGGGACGAGGTAACTGAGGACCCGAACCCCTGGGTCTGATGGGGGAGTGGCTGGGGGCCTGGACGCCTAGATCTAGCGGGATGGGCTGGGGGCTGGGTCTCCTGGGTCTGGGGGAGGGGCTGGGTCTCCTGGGGCTGGGGGAGGGGCTGGGGGCTAGGTCTCCTGCAGCCATTCCCCTTCACCCCTACAGAACAGAGAAAGCGCTACTCCACTGAGGTTGTGTCCGACGTTTCCACCAATGCAGTCAATGTGAGTCTGGGTCTGTGTTGCCGCGGGTAGCCTTGTGGGAAGGAAGGCAGGCCTGAGGAGATGTGGGTGTTGAAAGCAGCTGGACCTCCAAGCAGCATGAACTTGGGAAACAGTTTGCTCCTCTGCAAAGTGGACTTCTTCTACCTTGCCTCAGACGTGGGTCTGCAGGCGAAGAACTCAATTCCACTTTCATCTGCCAACTTTTCCTCGGGACCAGCTCTTGTGCTGGACATTTGGATCATGGGGACAAGTCAGGTGCCATCCCGGATGAGTAGGGAGTCAGACAAGGTCCAGAATTACCAGCAAAATGTGCTCTAATGGGGGTAGAGGTGCTTAGAAGGAACGAGGTATAACCCAGACCATTCCCTGCCTTCAACGGGTCTTGCAGGAGAGCTAGACCCAATTATTAGTCATGCAGATGGGAAACCCAGCAAGGGCAGTGGGGGGAGGTGGAGCAGGTGCTCAGAGAAGGCCTCCCAGAGGAGGTGTGGTTAGTTGTGGGGCGAAAGGGCGATCCCAGGGGGATCCTCAGCCCACCCGGCTTCATCCTGGGACCCACTGCTTCCTCTGTGGCCTCTGCCAGCACCTGGTGACCTTCTGCCTGGGTGAGGATGCCATACACACGGTGGAGGACGCCTCGCAGAAGCTGGCCCTCATGGACAGCCAAGGCCGCATCTGGGCCCAAGACATGCTGCTGAGCGTGTCTCCCAGCCACGTCACGCTGCTGGACCCGCTCTCCAAGGTGCCCGGGTCGCGTGGGGGGAAGGAACCGCTGGACCGAGAGCCTGGCCCTAGGGACGTCAGGGGCGTCGCCCCCTTTTTGAGCCTCCCTAGCTCATCTATGACCCCTAGCCCCGGGGGGAGGGCGTTGCCCTGAGCAGCGCCTACTTCTGCCGGCCCCGCTGTCGTGGTCACTCAAGAGTGTCCGCGGCTCCGGGCCTCAGTTTACCCGCTGCCCCACCCCTGCAGGAGGAGCTGGAGTCCTACCCGGTGAGCGCCATAATGCGGTGCGACACGGTGAGGCCGCCGGGCCAGAGACGCCCTCTGCTGCTGCTCGTGTGCCAGGAGCCGGAGCGCGCGCAGCCCGACGTGCATTTCTTCCAGGGCCGGTGTGTCGGGGTGAGCGAGCCGGGCCGGGGGCCAGAGCCGGGGGCGCGGCCGGCAACCTTCGGATTCCGGGGGCGGGGTGGGGCGGGCCCGCTACGCTAGGGGCGTGCGTGGCCTGGGGCAAAGGCGGGGTCGGGGTCTAGGAGGGGGCGTGGCCTGGAAAGAAATTCTGTAACGGAGGTGGGGGGTGAAGACAGGTTGAATTGAAAGGAGGTGCGGGCGGAACCGAGACCAAGGGTTAGAGCGCGGACACAGAGGCGGAGAGAGAGGCCCGGGAAGCAGCCGGAACTAGTGTGGGCGTGAGTGTGGTCGAGGCGTGAGGTACCACCCGGACGGGGCCTCCGTGGAGGCGAGCAGTGGCGTAGGGCAGGGACAGTTTTAGGTCAGGGGCGTGAGCCCAGGGCGTGGGCGCGCGTGGACACAGTGCTTGGGCGCTGACTACACGTGATCTAGGGCCGAGCCGAGGAATCGACCCGGAGCGCAGAGCTGAGCGGGCAGTGGGTGGGGTGGGGTGGGGTGGGGTCGTGGCCTGACGGCGTGCTTGGCAGGTGGAGTCGATCCAAGAGGAAATCCAGAGAGCTCTGCACAACTACCGCTCGGGCTGCGGGGAGCGCAGGGCGGCGGCACTCAGGTAAAACGGCTGGACTATAAGGGGAGGGGAGAAGAGACGATGGGGAGGTCTCTGGAGGGCCGGCTCCCTTCTTTGGGCCTCAGTCTCCCCATCCGAGAAATCGGTTGGTAGCACTAGCCTGGAGCAGAGCCAGTTTTAAAGAGTCAAGCCCTTTCCAAGTCGTCTATACCTCCCAGACAAGTGTACTACCCTGCCCTCGGTTTCGCCTCTCTCTGCCTCAGTTTCCCTCCAGAGAGGCGCGCTCCGCACTCCCGAATCCATATATCGATTTCCCCCTACCGCTGCGAATCTATCTAGGTTTGACCCCTTTGGGCCACCGTGTTCCCAACTGTTGTTCAGCCGCTCAGTCCTGTCTGACTCTTTCCGACCCCATGGACTGCAGCACGCCGGGCTTCCCTGTCCTTCACCATCTCCCAGAGTTTGCTCAGACTCACTACGTCCATTGAGTCAGTGAGGCCATCCAACCATCTCATCCTCTGTCATCCCCTTCTCCTGCCCTCAATCTTTCCCAGCATCAGGGTCTCTTCTAATGAGTCGGCTCTTCGTATCAGGTGACCAAAGGACTGGAGTTTCAGCTTCAGCATCAGTCTTTCCAAAGAATATTCTGGATTGATTTCCTTTAGGATGGATTTGTTTAATCTCCTTACTGTCCTTGGGACTCTCAAGAGTCTTCTCCAGCACCACAATTCGAAAGATTGAAGCCCCGAAGTTCTCTGCTCGCTGGACCCCTCGGTGTTCCCAGCCTGCCTGCCCTTGTCCCTCCGCAGGGCTACGTCAATGGAGCCACAGCAACACCCCTCGCCCGTCGCCGAGGCCGCGCCCCTGCCGCATCGCCCGACATTCCGCGCGGCGATCCACACCGTGCAGCCGGCCGCGGGCCGCGGGCGACCCCAGGCGGAGCCCATCCCAGAGGCAGAGGAGACGCGGAGGCCGGGCCGGGAGGAGGTCTGTCTCAGCTCTGACCCGGCCTCCCCAGACCTGGGGCCCCGTGGCCCGGACCTGGCCAGTCTGCAGGCGGAGCGGGATGTGGTGAGAGAGGCCGGGCGAGGGCCAGGGGCGGGACTGACTGCAGATGTGAATCTTCTGTCAGAGGGTGGGGCTTGGTCCTGAGACCTCGGTCAGACTTCTGGGGGTGTGGCCGGTGGTGACAGGATGGGGGTAGGATCAAGCATCGGGGCGCGTGGCCTGGCCTGAGTGTGCCCCGGTGCTCTTGATTTGTGGGGCTTTGGACGTGGGGTGGGGCGGGATGAGAGTCTGGGATTCAGGGGTCCCATGTATCCCCATGCCCTGGCCCCCAGGACATCCTGAACCACGTGTTCGACGACGTGGAGAAGTTCATATCCAAGCTGCAGAAGTCGGCCGAGGCGACCCGAGTGCTGGAGCACCGAGAGCGCAGCCGCAGGACCCGGCACCGGGAGGCCGGGGGTGAGGGGGCGCCATCCAGCGGCAGTCCTGAACAGCCCCTCCCTGGCCTCCGGGGCCACTCCCAAATGTCCTCCCTCTCCCCGGGTCTCCCCGTGCACCCCCTGCCATTCTGACTCCCCATCGCGACCTCACTGGGTCTCTGTCTCTCTCTTTGACCCTGCATGATCCCCGTCACCTCGCCTGCCTTCCTACCCACAGACAGCGTCCTGGCGCTGCGGGCCAAGCCGCCCTCAGGGGCCGAGTACACCGACGTACTTCAGAAAATTAAGTACGCCTTCAGCCTGCTGGTGAGCACGCACCCACCTCGGGCCTCAGGGGGCGAGAGGAATAGCGAGTCGCACATGTCCACGAACTAACACCAGCACCTCCCCGGCTCTCAGGCCCGGTTGCGCGGCAACATCGCCAACCCCACCTCCCAGGAGCTGCTGCACTTCCTGTTCGGACCTCTGCAGATGGTGAGACACCCCCGGCCTCAGCCCTGCAGCACAGGAGTCCACTTCAGGCAGGTCTGACGGCCTGCCCACTCCTGCGCCCCTGCCAGATTGTGGACACCTTGGGCGGCCCGCAGTTGGCCAGAGGCGTGAGGCGGCCGCATCTGACTTCGGAGGCTGTGACACTGCTGCGGGACAACGTCACTCAACGGGAAAACACGCTCTGGACCTCGCTGGGGGACTCTTGGACCCGCCCGGGGTAAGGGGCAGGGCTGGGGGCATGGTATTTAAGGGGCGGGGGGGGGGGGCGGGGGGGCGGGGCGGGCGTGGTGATTGGAGGACAGGACTGGGAGGCGGGAGGAGTGGTGACTTAGGGGAGGGGCTGGGACGTAGGAAGCATGGTGATTGGAGGGACAGGCTATAAGGCAGGAGGTGTGGTGACTTAGGGGAGGGGCTGGGAGGTAGGAAGCGTGGTGATTGGAGGGACAGGCTAGAAGGCGGGAGGCGTGGTGATTTAGGGCAGGGGCTGGGAGGCAGGAGGCGTGATGATTGGAGGGACAGGCTAGGAGGCAGGAGGCGTGGTGATTTAGGGGCGGGGCTTGGAGGTAGACAGCGTGGTGGTTGGAGGGAAAGAGCTAGGAGGCAGGAGGCGGGGTGCTTTAGGGGCGGTGCTGGGAAAAAGAGGCGTGGCTGTAGGAAAGATGGGGCTGGGAGAGAAAGGTAGTTGTGGGGCTTAGCTAGAGAGTGTCTTCAGAGAAACCGAAGTTCTGGTGGGACTAGGACAAATGCCACGATCCGATTGGAGGGAAGGCCAGAAACGAGTGTCGTGTGAAACAGTCTGCTGAGCCTCAGACAGCAGCTGTCCCCTTTGGCGGTGTGACAGTACCCAGCGGTTTCTCTCCTAGGCAGGCCTATCAACTCCAGGCTCTGGGGTCATAAGGTGCACCCAGAACCTGTATTCTCAATCCCTCACCTTTCCCCAAGGAGCGTATTGTTTTCTCTGTTTAAAAAAGTTTCAAAAATAAATCTTAAAGTTAAGTAGTTAGGTTTTTTGTAGCATGATTAAAAAAAAAAGACTCAACCAGAGCTCCAACGGGAATAAAAGGCAGGACTTCCAGGAATGGAGCGGGGCTATAGCGAGGAGGTGGGCTTGGGAAACGTTTGGTCTGTGGATTTGGAAAGGGGGCACAGCTTTTCGCAGGCTGGCAGCTTCATGGGAGCAGGTGCAAAGCTAGATGCTGGACTTAGGGGAAAGGGGTGGGAGACCCAGTTTGGAGTCAGAGGTGAAACTCAGGAGAGTGGAATCAGGATATTTACAAAGACAGTTGACGTCATGGATGCAACTTAGAGTAAGCGGCAGGTCTTGGTTTAAAGAAAAAATGGAGGGGGCTTCAGGATGGGGAAAACATGTAAATCCATGGCTGATTCATGTCAATGTATGGCAAAAACCACTACAATATTGTTAAGTAATTAGCCTCCAACTGATAAATATGGGGGGAAAAAAGTGTTTAGCACATAAAAAAAGGGGGGGGAGGTAAGGTTACATTTGTTGGGTTAGAACAAGGCTTAAGGCAAGGGGGAAAACTTCCAGAAGTTACTGACAGTGATTAGTCTGAAGTCAAACCTTCAGGATCCCTGAGCCCTCGGCCCTCCCTTGGTTGCAGGGTGGATCTGCCCCCAGAGGAGGGGCCCCCATACAGACCTGAGTTCTACAGCGGCTGGGAGCCCCCAGCCATGGACCCACAGGGCCGTGCCTGGGAGGACCCAGTAGAGAAACAGCTACAGCATGAGAGGCGGCGCCAGCAGGTGAGGCTAAAGCTTAAGCTCCCCCAGGTGACATGGGGGTAGGGGGCGTGACCGGGAATTCCAGGGGTGCAGGCCGGGTCCCACCTGACCTACTGTTCTCATGTCCTGCAGCAAAGCGCTCCCCAGGTCGCTGTCAATGGGTGAGTGTCTGTGGGTGAGTCGGGTCAGTGGGGTCCAGGTGGGTTGTGTCCTGGGGGCTCCCAGTGCTGACTCCGCTCCCCCTTTTTTCTTTTTCTTTTTGTCTTCCCGGTTCTTCGAAGGTGGGTGAGGTGGTGATGAGGCAGGGGCCGGGGCAGGGAGAGGGGGGAGGATCAGGGAGGGAGGGAGAGGGTCCCAGTTTTCTGGGTCCAAGGGAGGAGGGTGCTGGGAGTGGGTAAATCTGAGAGAAACCCCTGAATCCCCAAAGATCTGAAAGGAGGTGGCTTGGTTTCCGAGGGCCTGGAAAGCCTCCCGCCTGGGTCCCTATGAAGACAGAGTTCTAGGTGTTGTAGAGAACAGGCTGGGGAATTGAACATTTGGGTTTTGAAGAAGAGCTCAATCTTGTGCTTGGAACCTTGGAGAGCCAGGGAAGCAGACTTGCGACTTCAGGGGCCAGGGGGCAAGTTTCTGGGCAAGTTAGAAAGTGGTACTATTTCCAAGCTCCTGAGAGAGATAAAGACTGGGAGGCTGGACCCTCGCTTTCCCAAGACTCTCAAGCAATTGTCTTGGTCCCTGCTGGCTGTCAGACGAGGACCTTTTAAACATTAAATAGTTTAGGAAATTAAACTTGAGATCTGGGCTGCTAGGTCTCCAGAGGAGGAAAATGACTGGGGGGTGCAGGTCCGTAGTTCCAACAAGCAGTGGGGGTGCAGGCTCTTGGGTCCTCAGGGAAGAAGGGCCTAGAGGAGCCAGGATTCCCTGAGCAAGCTGGGGGCAGGCATGAAGGAAGCCACGTGAGATGAGAAGAGAGAGAAGCCACAGGTGTGGAGGAGAAGAAGCGGGTCTGGGTAGGGCTGGGGCAGAGAGTCTCAGCAGAGACGGCGTGCAGGGAGCTGCCGGCCTCACACGGGGGGCGCCTCGGCCCTGAAGATCCCCTTCTCCCTTGCACAGGTAGGCGTCATGGGGCTGAGGTGCCTTTAACCAGGGTGTCAGAGCTAAAGGTCTGCTCACCTCCCCGCCAGCTGCCTGGTCCAGCGGACCCCCTTTTCCCTGCGCTTCTGAATCTTGACACCCCCAGCTTTTAACTCACCTTTTTGGGTTTTGGTTTTTTTTTTGCACTTCAAGTTCTTTGTGGGGGGACCTGGAAATAGCTATAATCCCTCCCAGAAAGAGTGAGAGGTCTGTGATGTTGTATAGGCTAGCAGTTTAAGAGCTTAGGGTCATGGGAGCATTCAGGTTCACGCCCAGGTGAGTGCAAGTACTGGGTTGGCCCAAAAGTACAGGACAACCTGAACAAAGTGTTTGGTCGACCCAACAGAATGGAATTCCTCAGGACACGAGCTCGGGCCAACCTGCGCGAGTCCCCAGTGCAACTACACCTATTTCTTGCTCTATGACCTTTACATCACGGTTTCTCTCCTGTAAAATGGAGATAATAATTGGGTCTCTGGGAGGAGGAAGGAACTACTAAGTGGTTCAAACTCATGGTTCTACCAAGGGTTGTCTCAGTATTAAGTCAGCTAGTATATGTAACAGACTTTGAATAGTTTCTGGCACATAGCAGGTGCTATGTACGTGTTGACTATTGTTATTACTATGCTTAGGAGTTATCATTTATGCATGAGCCCAGTACATAGTAGATGCTCAATAAATAGCAGCAGTCTCTAGCTGTATGATCTTGGGAAAGTGATTTTATTTCTCGGAGCCTGCGTTTTCTCATCTAAAAAACAGAGCTGATGCTAGTACTCATATCATGTGCTTACTGCATGGTGCCCGGCATGAAAGGAGCACAGTATATTCAAACTGGCATTCCAGTGTGAAACCTCTGTTAACAGTATTAACCTGCCCTCTCCCCTCAGCCTTGACCCCTGCTTGGCTTTAACTCCAGCTCACATCAACTCCTAAAGGCCCAGCACAGTGACGCTGGCTGCCTCCTTACGCCCCAACTCTTCCCCTTCTCCTCAGTCACCCAGACGAGGAACCAGAAGCTGAGCCCCAGGGGCCGGAGCTGGCGGGAAAGTGGGCCCTGTGTAATTATGACTTCCAGGCGCGCAACAGCAGTGAGCTGTCCGTCAAGGAGTGGGACATACTGGAGGTAGAGGAGCAGGGGTGGGGGTGAGGAGGTGGAGTCCACCCAACCCTCGCTACAGACACAGCCTCTGAACCCTCCGCTGTATCTTCCAGGTCCTAGATGACCAGCGCAAGTGGTGGAAGGTTCAGGACCAGCGGGGGCAGAAGGGATACGTACCGTATAATATCCTGACACCCCACCCGGGGCCGCGGGGGGGCTGCAGTCTGGTGAGCCGGGGCAGACTCCTGGGTCCTGAGGGAAGAGGGGCTAGGGGGTCAGATCCTGAGAACAAGGGGCGTGGGGGTTAAGGGATCAAAATCCCTGGAAGAGGAGGTGACTGGGGATTCAGACATTTACCTCCAGGAGAAGGGACTGTGACTCAGTCCTCTCTCTGATCCAGGTGCTTCCCTCTTGTTCCCCTCTCTAGGAGAATAGCACGGCCGTTCCCTCTCCACCACCAGCGCCGGCCCCGGGCCCGGCTCCGGCTACCCCGCCTCCACCAGAGCCGGCCCCGGCCCTGGCTCCCCCCGCTCTTCCCACATCTGCCTTGGCCCCGGCCCCTCTGCCCCCGCCCCCTCCCCCTCCACCACCAGCGCCAGCCCAGGCTCCGGCTCCGGCTCCAGCTCGGTCTCCCAGGGACAGCTGCGAGAACCTCAGCAACTTGGACTCGGGCAAGAAGGGTGAGTGGTGGGGGCACCCTTTCGAGGGAACGGTCCTTGTCCTCGCTTTCCAGGCAGAAAAAAGGAGGCTCCTGACCACCCATCAAGGGAACGCTGGAGGTCCCTGACCCTCTGGGCCCTTCGCCCTGAGTCGTCCCTCCCTCCTGGTTTCCCACCTGCAGAGAAATTCTGCCCGATGCTCATGCTTAGTATCAACGAGGAGCTGCAGGCACGCCTGGCCCAGGGCCTCACGGGCCCCAGCCGCGCAGCCCCGGGGCCTCGCGCCCCGGAGTCGCAGCTCAACCCTCGCTCCAGCACCTCGGAGGTCTGCGCCTGGCTGCAGGCCAAGGGCTTCAGTTCAGGGTGAGTGTAGTGTTTGCCGGCTAGGAGGCTCGGGTTATACACGCACCAGAGGCGAAGCGCTCCGAATGGCCCAGTGGGCGTAGCAGACCACGGGGGGCTGTGGTTGGTCCAGGACGGGGGCCTTGTCTGAGTGCAACTATGAACGTCAGGCTGTGATTGGCCTGTTTTCCTAGGCTCCGATTGGAGTCACCACGGAAACCTCGCCTGCGACGCGCTTTGGTTGGTAGAGCGGGAGTCAGGAACCTTCGGCAGCTGATTGGACAAAGGCCTAGGGGCGGGCATGACGTGGTTGGTGGGGCTGACGTTCGAGCTGCGATTGGTCAGCCGCAGGCCTGAGGGCGCTCTCAATACCCCTGCTCAGGACCGTCGCGGCGCTGGGAGAACTGAGCGGCGCTCAGCTATTCTCGCTGCCGAAGGAGAAGTTTCGGGCGCTTAGCCCCGAGGAGGGGGCGCGCGTGTATAGCCAGATCACGGTGCAGCGCTCGCTGCTGGAGGTGAGCCGGAAGTGTCGTCCCAAGCCCCGGGCCGGGGAGGGCGCTGAGGACCCTGACGCTGGTCCTGATTTCCACCCCCCGTCCTCCAGGACAAAGAGAACGTGTCAGAGCTGGAGGCAGTGATGAAGAAGCAAAAGAAGAGAATGGAAAACGAGGTGGAAACGGAAGTCTTTTGATCCTTTCCCGCCCCTCCGCTCAAAGTTTCGAGGCAGCCCCGCGGGAGATCGGACTCTGCAGACTGCCCTCGCCAATGGAATTAGATCCCTTCAGGGATCGGCGACCTGTTCCAGCCGTGGTCTTACCCGGTCCGGGTAGAAAAAGAGGCCCGTCCTTGCTGGAGTCTCCTGAGCGAGTGCCCTCAGATTGGCCGAGAGCTGGCTTTAGAGACAATTCGGGGGACGTGCTTGTGTTCGGGAGCCCTGTGCATTGTGATATGCGGCCCAGTCTATAAACGGCCTCCTCTTAGCAGGCGGTGTCAACGGCTGTCCTCTCTCTACCCAGGTGTCAGGGGCCAAGCACCTGCCCTTCACCCCAGCTACAGCCTCACAGGAAGGGAATCCAGGAGATGTCCCCACCCTCCTTGGTTTCTTCCTCTGAATCCTCCTCTCACTCCCTGGGGCCCCAACTGAGACTTCTGCCCTCCCAGCCTCCAGGCTGTCCTTGAGTTCACTCCAGAGGGACTGCACATCCAGCCTCCCGGTGCGCCCCACGCTCAAAACCCACTTCTAGCTCCCGACTGCAGTCTTGGTCCTGAGTGTTTGGCCCCTGCCTCTCCAGCCTCATCTCCCACCCCCTCAACCCCCGCGCATCCTGGCCCTGCCCGTCTCCACACACCCACGTGCACACCAGCCTCCCTAACCCCTGCCGCCCCTGCCTTCCCCCTTAGCACCACCACCTGCAACACATGTTATGGATGCCTCCTGACTCTCCTCTAAAATGTATCGGATCTTTACCTGTCTCATTCGCTACTCTATCATCAACAGGCAGGCCAGGGCCTGGCAAGACCAGGACCCCGAATGACCGCGTGAATGAATGCCCCAACCTAGAGGATGGCTCCTATTGGGCTCCAGACGACTGTTGCCACGCTGAACTGAACAGCTTGCACTATTAGATTCCTATTCCCCAAACTTTAAATGCTGGTAACTGACGCAAATTTGTTTCAAGAGCCGAGCTCCCCAGCCCAATAATCACAGCCCCTATCCCTTGCCTGACTGACCCTGCCTGCTCCATGCTAAGCCAACTGTTGACGATGTCAGCCCTGGTTGGGAGCCTCTGCTCCAACTGAGCACTCTTCCTGAAGCCCCTTCCCAGCCCTCAGCACCCCCCCGCACAGTCCTGTGGGCCGGTCACACACAGCCGCAGCAGCAGGAAGCAGTGCCTCGCCTCCAGCCAGGGAACCCAGTCAGAGTGGCAACTTCACGACTTTTATTTGTGGTGCCTGTGCTTTGTCTCGAAAATACCTTCTCCCCCTGCCCCGGACGGTGGGCGGGGAGGGGGCCGCAAAAATAGAAGACATCCCTCCCTATTGCACGCGGACCCTATATACAGGCCCACCGGGCCGAGGCCGGCGGGGCTCTTGGCACATTCTCGGATCCCTGTTCCGGAGCGGGAGGGGTGGTGAGGGTGACATCACACGTGAGGGGGGACCTCTGGGCGGCCACTCTGGTCCTGGTTCCCGGTCTCGGTGCTTGGTCCTCGGTCCCTTGCTGGTCCCGCCTTCTGCCCCAGTCCCTGCTCAGCGACATCCCCCCACCCTGGCTCGGCCTCCCGCCTCCATCCTGGCCTCTGAAGGCCCCCCCCCCTTGGCTCCTGGGCTCTCGGTACTCCCCTCCCAGCCTGGAGGGCCCGAGGGGAGGTTATGGCTTCTCGGAGACTCCCCCGGGAGCCCTGTCACTCGTGCTCACGCAGGGGAAGGGGTGCGTGTGGCAGAAGCAGCTATATAAATATGGGTGCAGGGGCGGGTCTCCTCCCGAGTCACTTGGAGAGTTTGCTGATGACGCGAATCAGGGCTGCGTTCTCATCCTTGAGCCGCTGGTTGTCAGCGCGGAGGTCGGACAGGGCCTGTGAGGTGGGAAGACGGGTCAGCCGGGTGGCCCTGGGCAGGCTGTACCCACGGCCCACCCTGGCTCTCTGCCCTCAGCTCCCTGCTAGCATTCACCTTCAGTTCCTCCTCCAGTTCGGCTGCCTTTCGCTCCAGGGCCCTGCGCTCCTGGAATAAATCGGGGAAAGTGAGGGTGGGGTGGGGAACTTGGGTTCACGTATGGCGGAGAGGGGCAAGGAAAGGGGAGAGGTCAACTCGGACCTCTTCCCCCAGACCGTAAGGGCTCCTAAGGCCGGGACACATCTCTAGTACCACCCTGGCCACCCGTACTCACGAATCTCTCTAGCTCCAGAAGGGCAGGCCTCTCTGCAAAGCGCTCCTGCTTCTGGGGAGGACAGAAAAAGAGCGGGGGTCAGGAAAGCGGCCACATGGCCACAAGCAGAAGGGGAGACCAGCAGAGGCGGGTGAAAGGCAGCTGGGACTCGCGGCGGGTCAACCAGCCCCGCACTACTCAGGCCCGGCCCAGCTCTCCGGGCCCGGGCCCCGGCCCCGCCCCCAGCCCCCTCTGTGGCCCAGACTCCTCCGCCCAAGGGTCCCACCGGCCGTTCTGGGCCCCTCCGCCCTTGGTGCTCGGGCTGGGCCTCCCTCCCGGAGACCCGGAGCCAGGACCCGTACCCTCGCCAACCCCCACGGCCTCCAGGGCCCCGACTCCTCACCTGCGTGGCGCGCTCCAGCTCCACCTTGAGCTGCGCCAGCTGCAGCGTGGTCTCGGTCAGGGCCTCCCGAAGGCGCTCGTTCTCACTGCGCAGCTCGGCGTACAGCTGCGGGCCCAGGAAAGGCAAGGGGTCAGGCTCGCCGGCGGAGACGCGGCAGGCTTGCGGGGGGCAGGGTGGGTGGCTAAGGCACGGGTGAGGCCGGAAGGGCGCAGGGTGCGCGGGTGGGTCAGGCAGAGTCCCTGGGCAGGGGGCGGCGGGGCAGGCATACAAAACCGACTGGTGGGGCTCTGGTAATGGTGGGGTCGCAAACCTTCCTGAAGCCTCCGTCCGGCTCGTCCGGTTCCGGCTCTGGTTCTGGGTTGAGGTCCCGCTGCCTGCGGGATGAGGGGTCGCCCTCGGGAGTGCTGGGGGTAGGGGTGGGGAGGCCGTCATGGGGTGCCCACGGCCCCACGACAGCCCAGACCCTGCTTCCCTGCCCCGTACCTGGATTCTGAGCTGCGGTCGGCCGGTGCCGGCTCCGCCTCCTCTCCCTGCAGGCGGAGGTGGGGTTCAGCGGGCAGGGGAGCTGCTCCCCCCCCTCCCAGGCCCACCCGCGGCCCGCCGGGTGCCACCCCTCACCTCGGCAGGGCCTCTCCGCTCCTTGCCGACTCTGCGGGGCTCCCTGGCCGCCTGCGGTCCCTGCCCTTGCCCGTCGGGGGCCTCTGCTGGGGGAGGGGCAGGAATCAGCCCAGTGCGGGGCGAGGGTCCCTGGGCCCGACCCACAGGAAAACCGGACACGGGCCAGGAGGACGACCTCCCAGAGACCAGCCTCACCTCTCTGGGCAGGGCCATCAGTGCTCTCGACCCCAGGGACTCGGGGTCGCCGGGAAGGGTCCTGTGGGGAGGGGCGGGGGTCAGAGGACGAGCGCATCTCGTCCCACCCACTGACCGGTCACCTGACCCCTCTCACCAGGCTCTGCACGCTCGACTTCTCTGCCTCCGGGGCCTTTCCTGCGGCCTTCTCTGCTTCCTTCAGGTCCGTCAGGGTCACACCCTGCACGGGGAGAAAGCAGTCGGGGTGGGGGGGGCCGCCCCTTCAGGATGGAGTCCAGACCCCCGGCCCCTCCCCCCTCAGACCCCCGGCCCCTCCCCCCTCAGACCCGGGGTCTGGCCCCTCCCACACCTGCGTGGACCTCCGAGACTGGCGCATGAGGCGAGAGCGCGCTTTCCGCTGAGACTCAGACTCCTCATCCCGCACTGGCATCTGGTAGGTCCTGAGTGAGGGGCCCGACTTCAGAGAGGACTCCTCTGGACCCTATCCTGTCCCATGGCCGACAGCCCCGGGGGGAGTCGAGTTCGGCCAGGGGACCCTGGGACAAGCTCCCCCAGGTCCACCCCCACCAGCTCCGGCACCCCTGGGTAACACGGGTCTCGCCTCACCTCCGGCGGTCCCGGGAGTCCGCTTGGGGCGCTGCGGAGGCTACGGGGACATTGGGCTTCACCGGGGACTCGGGCTCGGGGGTCCTGCGGGGAGGAGGGGAGTTAACCAAGGGAGGAAGAGGCCTGGAGATCTCAGACCTGTGTGAATTCATTCAATCAGCAAGTATTACTCAAGCTCGCCTTGCGTGGCGGGCACCGACACATAGCAAGAAGCCAAAGAAATGAATTATCTCTGCCCCGTGAGTCAAATCTGAGCAGAAACGATGCAACATGAACAATAACTACAAGATCAGGGTCACACAATGTCAGGAGGATAAAGTACTCTGGGGGAAAACAAGCGAGGACCGGAGCCTGGAGGTGTGCCAGTCCACACGCTGTGGGGGTGAGCACAGCGGGGGTGGTGGGCCTCCCAGAGAAGCTGACATTTAAACAGACCTGAGCGGGAGGAAGGAAGTCCTGTGGGTGTTAAGCGGGAGGCGCAGTGCAGGGCCTGAGTCAGAGAGGAGGGCGGGAGAGGGGGCAGGGGCCCCCAGGAAGCCAGAACACCGCGGCCATGGCGCTTTTACTTGCGGCACCAAAAGGGAAACTGAGGCCAGAAGTGGTGGGAGGCAGGGAGCGGACCCCAGAGAGCCCGGGTACAAGACAGGAACCCCAAACTCCCCCCACCCCGGAGGGGCTGTCCTGCCATACTCACGGGGAAGAAGGCTCCGGCACCTTCTGAGAGGGGGTAGGGGGGACTCTGGCAAGACGGGGCTCCCCGCCCTGCGGAGAGAGGAGAGAGGCGGCTACTCTCCCTGCTGGGCAGGGTCTGCTCCCCCCGCCTCCCCTCAGCGCTCACCTGAGTGGATGTGCCCTCCAGCCGCGAGGAGGACGCAGAGCGCTGCAGCCCAGCCCCCGGGGCGCCTGCAGCCCCGCACCTGTCCGCGGGCCCCAGGGCCCCGGAGCTGCCCGTCTTCTGGAGGCCAAAGCGCCTGGAGAAGGGGGTCTCCTCGGGGGTCTG